CGTCAGCCTTTCTGCTCCTATGATGCTGCTTGGCCTGCTGTGTTCATTCAGCCCTGCACCTTGTTGTCTCTATCTTCTCACTGTTGGTCTTTATCCCAAGAGAACCGGAATACAAAGAGATTGAAATTTTGTGCAGTTATAAAATTAAACCTCATTTAGAATACTGTGCGCTGTTCTGGACATCATCCCTTAGGAAGGATTTATTGATTTTAGAAGGTCCAAATTCACTGATTTCATACAAAGTTAGTAGATAAATTATGCAGAATAAATTATGATTACTTTTAGGTTGGGAGACAAAGGAATTAAAACAAATGAGTAAATGGACTGGAAAGAAACTATTTCCGTCGGTGGAGGAGTCCAGAATAGAGGAACAGCCTTAAATTAGAACTGGACTTTGCAGAGTTCCAGGGAGCAGTTCTTCACAAAAAAGGAATTGACAACCTTAGACTCTTTCTCCTTAAAAACATGTTGAAATTGGCTGAAATTTTCAACTGAACTTCTGATCTTGAACTTGATGGATTTTTGTAGAGTAAGGGTATGAAGGGTAATGGACCCAGGGTCAGTAAATTGAGTTAAGTCAAATGTCAGCCATGGATTGCACAACAGGCTTGAGTAGCATAGTTGCCTGTTGCTGTTGCTGTTGCTATTTTCCCACCTATTCACTCCTGCTTAAGATTTCATGCCCTAACACTGGGCACGCTTTTAAACCAAGCTGAGTTTAAAGCTCCCAGCACTCGGTCCACTTTACTGACTGAAAAGAGCACAGTAAAAACACAATGGTGCTTGCGTTTGATTTCCCAGACACCAGGCTTCTCTACCTATGAGGACTATGTTCTTCTGCGGGATACCATTGTAAAGCTTGGCTGGTTTGACTCTGTCACTCTACTTCATTCAATTTTAATTTAATTGGTTTGAATCCACAGTGTTGGTCCCAGCTGCTGCTGTTAATTATAAAGCTTTGGGACTGTACCACTGTTTTGGCTTCACTGCTTCACTTTGCTACTGTGGGAACCTGGATAGAAATCTGATTTCACCTCAAAGTAAACTTCATTTCTCTCTTGCATTCTGGGTTCTACTGTGGATGTGATTTTTTTTTTCCAGTTCTTACTGACCCTCTGGTGTTATATTGAATCTGCGTTGCTAATGCTACAGTGACTTCTAGAACCCTGGATCAACCTCTGGCTCATGATCGACTCAGTTTCTACTGGCCAAACCATGCACCAACTGATAATTTGTTCCTCAAGTAGTCACTGGAGTCACTTGTTTTCCACAGCTGATTCTGAGCCTGAACATTAGTTCCATCAATTCCCTCTCTGTCCATATCTAGAAGTTTTAAATTCCCAAATAAGGTGCTTTACAAGTGGAACTTGATGCTTCTCTTGGGTGAAGGATTGGAGGATGACTCAAGTGTTTGGAGTTGGACTTCAGTAAGGAATCTCATTTGGGCTGGATAGTTACAATGGAGGTAGATTGAAACATGAGGAAATACGGAATTATTAAAACCTTATCTGAAAAAAAAATTTCTTTTCTCTCTCTTCTCAGGTGGAGTGATGTCATTCCTCCAGTGTACACGATCTGCTCTGAGTATCTGGCAAATACAAAGCAGGTACTGGTAATTCCATCTTTTGATCATTTTGCATGGAGTAACTCATTGATTTGGCTGATTCCTTTTAATAAGGCCTTTTTTGCACACACTCTTGGGGAAAATAGTATCAGCTTTGACTCAGTTGATGATACTGCAGAGTCTAAAGTTTGTGAGGTCAAGCTTAGCTCTAGAGACTTAAGCATAAAAGTCTAGGCAAGTACTCTGATGCAGTGCTGAAGGAGCCCTGCATTGTCAGAGGTGCTGTTCTCAGTTAAAATGCACACCTCTGTCTGCTCCTTTCAAGTGAATGCTAAAAATCTTATGACATTTGCATTCTTTTAGAGAATAGCTCGGGAGTTATTTCTAGTAGATATTTTCTAATCAACCTGTTCATACATGTTATGACACGTCTCTGGAGTGGGTGGGACCTTCAGGCCCAGAGGAAGGGACATTATCACTGCATCACATGAGCCCGCTGGTAGATATTTTCCTAATCAAACCTGTTAGAAATATTATGACACAAGTATGGGGCAGGTGGGACTTGAACCTGGGCCTCCTGGCCCAGAGGTAGGCACAATAACACTGCACCACAAAAGCACCCTAAAGAACTGGGCTTCTGAATTACCAACCCAGTAACATTACCATTACGCAACTCCATCCCCTTTTTAAACTAGTGGCCCCATTGGACAGAAATCATGAAGTTAGGATGATGGGTTTACAGATGTTTTTGAATTTTGTTCAGAGATGTTATGGTAGACCTCTGGAGTAGGTGGGATTTAAACCTGGGCTTTCTGGCTCAGAGATGCGGACCCAACTCTTGCACCACAAAAGCACCTTTTTGCAGAAATGTAAGTCTCATCCTTAAATGATACCAATGCTATTAAATACCAGCCTTAACATTCTAGTTATTTTTAATCTGCTTGCTCAGACATGTGATGACACCTGTAGGCCAGGTGGAACTTGAATCCAAATCTTCAGGCTCAGGTAGGGACACTACCACTGTTCTAAATGAGCCTCTAGATACTTTTAGATGTGTTATGATGCACCTCTAGAGCAGGTAGGACTTAAACCTAGGCCTTTGGTCCAGAGGTAGAGACACTACCATTGTATCTCCAAGCCCAAAGATTTTCCATTCCTGATGAAATTAGTTCAGATAAGCATCGCTTCTCTAGCAGCCAAGCATTCCAATCCAATTCTCGGGAGCCACCTGGCTTGTCGGCTTTCACATATCTTTTACAGCGATTCTCTGTAGTAGTTATTTTAATCAACCTGTTCGAACATTAAACCTGGATCTTTCTGGCTCAGAAGTAGGAACACTACCATTGTGCCACAAGAGCTCTTAAGAGCCATCTGATGGATATTTTTGAATCAACCTGTTCAAAGATGTTATGACACATCTCTGGAATCATAAAATTCCTATAGTGTGGAAACAGGCCCTTCAGCCCAACAAGTCCACACCAACCCACAGAGCATCCCACCCAGAGCCATCCCCCTATAACCCACCTAATCTACACATTCCTGAACACCACGGGCAATTTAGCATGGCCAATCCACCTAGCCATCTTTGGATTGTGGGAGGAAATCGTAGCTCCCGGAGGAAACCCACGCAGACACGGGGAGAATGTGCAGACTCCACACAGACAATCACCCAAGGGTGGAATCGAACCCAGGTCCCCAGCAGTGCTAACCACTGAGTCACTGTGCCACCCTGTGTAGTAGTGGGATTTGAACACAGGTCTCCTGGTTCAAAGGTAGAGATACTACAACTGCACCACCACAATTGCCTCTCAATTATTGAGTTCAAACTCCACCATTTGCCATGGTGGATGCAAAACGTTAGCCTGGGTAGTACAGCTTACTAGTACAGTGATATTACCATTACGCCAATGTCATCTACTTAATGTTATTTTATAGATATTTGTCTTATCACAGATGTTTTCTAATCAACCTGTTCAGAGATGTTATTACACACCTCTGGATCAGGTGGAACTTTAACTCTGAGCCAGAGGCCAAAGTTCGGTACGCTACAACTGCTAAAACTAAAATTACATTTTAAAGCATAAACCATGAGCTAGATATTCATAACAAATGCAATAGTGACTACATTTCAAAAGTACTTCATTGGTTGTTCCATTTATTTCATTCAATGGCTGTCCATCGCAGATGATGATGACTCTCTTCCGTTCTCTGGATGAGTCCGTAGGTGGCTGTACAGTCAGTTGTGGCTTCAGCAGACACTGTTACACTTGGGGCAGAAGGTGGTTGTGGGAAGGGGTGGGTGGGGCATTAGTGTGGCAGTGCACTCCTTATGCTATTGATTGTGAAGCATTTTGGAACACTCCACAGTCAGATAGAAGATATGGAGTTTCGCCTATAAACTGAAATTATTTTAACCTTAATTTAATGATACAGCTATATTTGCAATAGTATGGGGAAAAAAATAAATAATATTAAATAGACGACAATGTATATATAAGATTTTTAAAAACTTTGCCTGTGACACGAAGTTAGAAAAATAGGGCAGATAATCAAATGTTTATATTTATTGAATTACAAGTACCAGTTTGAGATATCTACAGGCAATTTTTTAAAGTCAAATTAATATTGTCATTCTTTCGACTGAAGTACCATCTGTAGGATCATATTTGTTCACTACATATATAAATGATCTGCACTTGGTACTTGAGGGAACAATATCAAAGTTTGCTTATAATGCCAAATTAGGATTGAGCATGGAAGAGGATAACAAGATTTCTTAAAGTAGCAAGTAATGCTGTAGAGTAATGCAAAATAATATTCAGAAGGAAACTCAGGAAGTATACTTTAAGTTGAGCAGAGGTGCACAGCGCAGATGTAGAGACACGTGGGTTACTTAAAAGTTATATCACAAGTAAATATAATCAGAAATAGCAAACTAGATCTGGTTTTATTTGTAGATGTCAATCGCAAAGTGGCTCATTTTGATCTGTTATATGTGATTTGAGCTTCTACAAGTTCAGTTGGGCCGCAGTGAAGTATTGTGTGCAGGCTTGGACGCACACCTTCATTGTAGGCAAGATAAACAATGGAAAATTTGCAATATCAATTCGCTAAGATATTGCCACAGTTGAAGGGATTTAGCAATGCAGGGTGATGAGAGAAGTTGAGGCTTTTTTTGAGGTGACTTGATAGAGGTCTTCAGTGTTATGAACAGTTGTGCAAATAGCTTTAGATTTTGGATTTTCTTCATTTTGGTCAGTGACATTGTGGGAGGAAATTAAAGTAATCGCAAAATTATTTTTGGATAGACAGTTCAAAATAGTTTCTGCAGACTGTTTAAAAACCAAAAGAACTGCGTATCTGTAAACCGTGAGCAAAAACAAAGTTGCTGGAAAAGCTCGGCAGGTCTGGCAGCATTTGTGAAGAAAAAAAATCAGAGTTAACATTTCGGGTCTGGTGACCCTTCTTCGGAACTGATGGTGGCTGGGAAAACGTCAGCTCGTATGCAGAAAATAGGGAGGGGGGTGGGGTAGGGAGTAAACGATAGGATAGAGCCTAAAGAGAGAGAAGAACAGTTGGACAGACAAAGGAGTTGCTAATGATCAGGCTGGGAGGGTGAATAGTTGTTAATGGGGACTATTAGTGACTAACAACAGGTGGTGTGTAATGGCAGACTATGTGATAACAAGGCCTGGTGTGTGGGGTAGGGGGCTGAGCCATGGGAGAGTTTAGGCCCTAAAATTATTGAACTTGATATTGAGTCCGGAGGGCTGTAGGGTCCCCAAGCGGAAAATGAGGTGGTGTTCTTCCAGCTTGCGTTGAGCTTGGCTGGAACACTGCAGCAAGCCAGAGACAGAGATGTTGGCCAGGGAACAGGGTGGTGCATTAAGTGATCCGAAACGTTAACTCTATTTTTTTTTCTTTACAGATGCTGCCAGACCTGCTGAGCTTCTCCAAAAACTTTGTTTCTGCAAACTGTGTTACTCTGCTGTATAAATCTCTGCCACAAACTGTAATACAGAGTACTTTTTAAAAAGAATGATATAATAGCTTGAAAATGTTTTTAAAATTATGGCGAGTGAGCAGGGGAGTCGGTTTGATAAGGGAGCTAATGGAGATATGGAGTGGTGCAGACGTAATGGCTGAGTGGCCTGACTCAGTGCTGCAACATTCCATGACTGGGAACTCCGTTTGGAAACTTCTGTGCTTTACATTATGAGATTTCATGATAACTCCAGACTAGTTTGTGTTTCACAGTTCAATGAGTTTGGTGGTTAAACAATCAGTGGAGACCAGGTGATCGTGGCTGTTGTAGTGATGTGATCTTCGGTGAGTATATCTGTACCAAAAGCATCAGAACCCCTGATGTCGTAGCGAAGAACTGCTTCAAAATGGAGAAAGAGAATAAAAAGAATCAAAGTCCACGTTCAATGAAAGAAATTTTTTAAAAAAGACCAAAATCAAAGCTGTTTTTCAAATATTCAGTTTTCTAAATTGAAAAAGACACACCTGGCGTAAGTCTTTGGGACCTTGGATGGTGAGGAGAGAGTAATACAGGGAAAGTGTTGCATCTCCTATCCTTCCATGGGAAGTTGCTTGGGAAATGAAGGGGTTGTGGATGATTTGAGGAGTTGACCATGCTCCCTTTGAAATGTTGTGAGGAATACAAAAGAT